GTACAGGTCTATGTGCCCAATTTAAAGGGAGAGAATACGACTCTTTCCTTGAGGAAGTGGAGTTTGCTCTATTCGAATGCCGATTATGGAGTCCCTTGTTCTAATGGGCGATTTTAATGCACATATCGGAGTAGACACTGAAAACTGGAAAAGGGTGTTTGAAAAAAAACAGCCTTACTTTGTACAAACAACGAACTACCTGTTAGAAGACTATATATAATGACACAACAACTGCTATGCCATAGGATTATAATGCATCTGCAGCAATGGACCAAGCGCTAGGAGTAATCAGAATCTAATAAACTTTGCAGTTAGGATGTTTCCGTTCGTAGAGTGCTTTATTTACCATCAGAAGGTGAAGGGTCAGAACCACTGTTTTAAGCTATTTGGCTCTCGTTTTGACGAAGAACACATGAAGTGTGACGCACAGTTTTGCCGTCATTGTCACTAAAATTGGCGGGGGGACTTCGTACCACAGATCAACGCCATTTCCTATGTTCCAGTAAAGTAAAGTGCCGCAAATGAAGGCAGTCCCGAGATTGTCAGAAAAACTTAAGTTTTGACTCCAGCAAATTTACCTTTTCTCCTTCTGCATTGATACATGAGAAAAACACTGCTAACTTTTGTCTGGATAGTTGCCTCCACTCCTCAAAATAAAACTTTGCAAAGCTCACATTGTACATCTGCCCGAGATGCGTATGCCTGCCAAGTAGTGCGACGGCCTGCGCTACACGACCTGCAAAATCTGAATCGGAACCGAAAGAACAACTGATCAAGTCGAGATTAAGATTTGCACTTGCGATTGCCAAAGAAACGGACTAACGGGAAAACGTTCTGTTTTCCGCCTCCGAACAAACTGTTTTTTCGAAGGACATCTCGCTGTGCAAGAAACTATATGAACGATGCTTCAATCGCACAACGCCCAGTGTAACTGTTACTGCTAGCCATGAAGCTCTGCGCACTGTCGTGCGTCTGCCTCTTCATCGTATGTAATAGACTCTCAGCCGTTCCCACGGGCAAGTTCATGCTCGATTATTTGACGTACACTGTTATACTTTAAATTTTAGGAAGGCATGTTCGTCAGTGGCCTGAAGGGGGTCCCGGACCAGCGCTTCCACCTAACAATTTTCAACCAGGAGGCGGTTTTCAACCTGGCGGCGGTCCTGGTCCTGTGATTCCACGGAATAATTTTGAACCTGGCGGCGGACCAGGTCCCGTGATTCCACCGAACAATTTTCAACCAGGAGGAGGTTTTCAACCTGGCGGAGGACCTGGTCCCGTGATTCAACCGAACAATTTTCCACCTGAAGGAGGTCCTGGTCCGGCGCTTCCTCCGCAGGGCATCCAACCATTCGGAGGTGAAGGCATGCCATTTGGCCAAGGACCCGGTCCGGCCTTGCCACAAGGACAACCTCCTATTGAAGGAGGCCCAGGTCCAGTTGTCGGTGGATTCTAATGCCGAACGAGAAGAGCGTTGAAAGAAGAAAA